TGATAGAATTGAAGAGGCCAAAGGAATCAGTGATACAGAATCCCACTACAGATATTTTTTTAAAAAAAAGGGGGGGGGGGGTAGTGTTGGTACAAACTTGTAACAAGGGAGTTTGAATGTTCCAGTGAAACATTTTGAAGTGTTTTGTGATCCCACAACAAATCCTGAAACATCTTAAGTGCTCTGCCACAGGGAACAACGACAACATAAAATAAGCCTATTATTTTTCATCATCAGGTCATAAAAGTGAAATGGCAGCCCATGCTGACTGCTGTCTACTGCTCAAACTATAACTACATTGACTAAAAGATTTTTTTTAAAGGAGTGTAAATATTTAAACATTCCTAGAGTAAACAAGTTGGGTGTACTTTTTTTTTACAGCCTGTCTGCACAAATAATCACAAGAAATTAGCCCAGCAAAAAAAAAAAAAAAACATAATAGAATCACTCCAGCACAACCCCAACACAATTTAACAGGGGGGGTGGTCTTTCTTCCTAATGCAGTAACTATAAAATCTCTGCATTTAGCAAATATAGACAACTTCAGACAAAGCAGTACACCCCAAATGTCTGAAAGCTTACCAGCACAGATACACTTTCTGTAAAGCATAGTTCATAACAACCTACCTGAAAAAGACACAAAGTACATAACACACAAAAACGATATAGCCATGCCATGACCTATAAATTCTATTTCAAAGACTTCCAAAATTTACCTACCTCCTACAGTAGGAGTTAACTCACCCTCACATTACCAACCTTTCTCTACTCAGCCACATTTAAATGGTAGCAGCAGAAGGAAGAACTTTAGCTCTGCTATTTTATTGGCTAATGTGCTCTTAAAAGTCTCCATAGCTTAGAGGAATTTTTAGAACAGAACCTAACTTATACTTAACTTATAGGGACACTCCAGGCAATATAAAACAATATATCCCAATTTGAACTGAACTCAGGACCCAACAATTCCAGAACATGGTTGTTTTGTTCCATGCTTGGAACCCTCAAACCTCCAGTAGTTATTTTGGAATTTGACTCCTTAATTCACACAATGCATCCTATTAGCACTGGATGGCTTTCCTTTTATGTAAGCTTAACCCAAATGAAAACATGCAGCATACAAATAATATACACCTGTATGTATATTTTCTTTGTCATGTGATCTTCAACCATTAGTTAAAAAACTCAGAACTTTCTGAGCAAGTCAGTTCCAACACATAAATACAATAATAAATATATAAAATAAAACCCATCAACTTACAAAGTAAAAGACTCAAATTATATTCAGTAGCAATTGATTGCTACATTAAAGGATTTATTTACCAAAGGCAGCAGCTTTAGACACTAAAAAATCACTAAAGGTAAAAGATAAGGGATGTCCTCAGTACGCTATCAATTTTTGTCCAGAAGCTACCACTGATGTTCCATTCCCACCATACACAAAACAATACTAAGAATAAGTAGCACTTTATATATCCTATACACACAAACACATTTATTTTTTATGTCAACAAAATGTTCCCCTCATTTTTAAACTAGAACAAGAGCGATGGAAAAGAAAAAGAATAATTGTATAACAATGTATATAAATGTAAATATTCATAAGAGATAAATGTGTATAATACTGATGCTAAAGTACTGTTAATATTATGATTAATTTTGCTTTTTTAAAAAACATAAAAGAATACAGTTTATTTTTAAAAAAAGAAAAGAAAAAAAACATTCAGAACTGATGGAAATTCATAACTTTTAGAATGATCAGAATACACTTTGTTTGGGGAGGGTATGTCTTAGATTATTCTGCATATACAGATTTGAATTCCATGCATGTTCCTCTCAACTGACATCACCCAAAATGGTGCCTTCCCAATGTGTTAAAGAGTCTACAGCAATATTGGAGAGACAGACCTCTTTCCAAAGACAGATTTCTTCTATTCACTTCCCAAATCAAGGAAAAGCAATTTCCCATGAAACCAAATATGAGGCTAGTCCTAATTCAAAGCAAGCCATTTCTTGCCTAAATTCCTACACCTCACCATACAGTTCAAAGGGGAGAATTTTTTGCTCATTGTAACTTGCACTAATCAAGACTGAAGGTTGTGCCTTTCAACATTTCCACAATTTCAAGAAAGCAAGTCAATGTGAGACAAGAAATATGAAGCTTAACAAGACTTGAAATAGACAGCTATATGAAAACAGAACTTCCCATTCAGAACCAGATTTAGTTATAAGCATGAATTCGCAGAGATGGTAATGTTAACTAGGACTTATTCAATTATGTACTTAAAACTGAAGAATATAAAACTGGTTTCAAATTTAGAGCATCACAATCTGAATAATGTTCAGGGAAGAGGGACTGCTAGTTGCTTCTCTCGGTTATGCTAACATCTATGCTCATTTCCATGTTTATTTGCTGGGGAAACGGGTTAAATGTTAGTCAAGACCAACTGCTTGAGAAGCATACAAATAAACTATGTCAAGTTCTCCCTCATTACAATTAGAAATTATCACTGTTCTTTAAAATGTAGACTTGCAAAAAGAAAATTAGTGAGCCCTTCTAAAAATCAAAACAAGAAAGGTAGAGCAGAAATGCCATAATGAAGTATGTACCCTGGCAGTTTTGAAGACAATCATTGTTATAAGTCAGCATGAAGTGCGCTTGACACAAAGGAGCTGTTGCTTCCAAGAACACATACCACAACATATCAGTCACTGTTTACTATGCAAATACATGGATTACTAGAAGAGGGTTCTAAGGCCAAAGGCAGATCTAGAACTCATGGATCTACTGGTTTCGAGTCTGCTGCCTCAACCATTACACAAAACTTGTTGTGTAAGGGTGCATTAAGCTCAGAGATAGTACAGGTAGCACTTAACCATGGTTTACTGCAGCAGTCCCCAACCTTTATTGCTTGGCAGCCCAGTGGGGGAGGAGGGGAACTGGCTGTGCGAGCAGCAGGTCGGTGCGCACAGCCACAGCTCTTGTGCGAATGGCAGGCCAGCATGCACGCACACAACTCAAACTTGCATGAGCAGTGGGCCAGCGCGCATGTGCGCGAGTGCCTGCCAGCCCACCACTTGCACAAGTTAAGCTGCGTGCATGGGCTCCGGCCAGCCACTCGCACGGGCCAATTCCAAATAAGGGTCGGATGGGGACCCCTGATTTACTGAATGTCCTTGTTTACATCATACATTATAAGCAATAGTTATAACCAAAATGGATGGATGTATAAAGGTAAAGGTTTTCCCCTGTCCAATCATATCTGACTCTAGGCAGTAGTGCTCATCACTATTTCTTAGCTGAGGGAGCCAGCGTTGTATGGGAAGACTTTTCCATGGTCACATGGCCAGCAAGACTATACAATGAGGTGCAGTGAATGGAAAGCTGTTACCTTCCCACCAAAGTGGTACCTATTAATCTGCTTGCATTTGCATGCTTTTGAACTACTAGGTGGGCAGGAGCTGAGGCAAGTAATGGGAATTCACCCCGGCATGCTGCACTTGGGTCTTAAACCCAGACTGGCAGCTTTCCAGCTGAGAACCTCAATGTCTTTAACTAATTGAGCCATTGCGTCCTCTGGAAGAACACATATCACCCATTAAACCAAACCCAAGCATTCTACATCCTTGCACTACGTGATGTATGAATCCCACTACTATGAAGCCTCTTCAGAACCCATGGCAATATCTGGAATAGACTTGCAAGAGTTATTTCTCTTGAGATCCACAGTATTTCAGATCTCAGTTTAAATGAAGGAATGCTAGAAAAGGATTCTGCCAAACATCATGCTGGCATAACTATTTCTTTAACAAGTTGAAAAACATGTGTTTGTAGCCTGCAGACAGCAATAAAAACTGCTTTCAACAAAGGGCCATTTCAACAAAAAACAAATTTCAGGGAAGGGATTAAATGTCCTTCATAGGCTCTGCTGTTTGGAAAAAAAAAAAAAAAACGGTCAGCCTCACTAGAGGGTAAGCCAAGTGTGCAAGTCAAATTCCAACTTTCTTTTTTTTTTAATGACAATTGCATATGTAGACACAGAAAAATGAGAATCCAAACAAACAACAGCCCCCACCCACCCCAACTTTTCTTCCTTTCCCCAATCCTTTGGGGAAAGTCCACAAACCAAACCAGACAGGTGTTGTGTAACAAAACTTGCTTGCTTTGCTTCCCATCAAAACTATCCATCATCTTTGCAGTTTGTACTGCTGACTTTCCCAAACAAACCCCTCTTCCCTACAAGAGTTACAGCATAGAGAGGGACGGGCTTATACTTGGCAGGGTAATGAGTAACATCTGTAACCACAGCTGCCCTGTGGGGCATTCCTTCCTTTGATGCTCCTTGAAGACTGCAGCCAGCCAGAGGAGGGAGCCAAGGAAAGTTTATACAGATTCTCTTTCCTCTCTACACAGCCTTTCCTCTCCCCCCCCCCCCCTTCCAAACCCTCCACTTTCAGGAAAGGTGGCCTCCCCGAAGCGATTAAAAGATGCACCGCTTCCATCTCCTAAGTTTTCCAAAGCCACGGCTGGAAGCAAGACATACAGATGCAGCATTAGCTTACGAGCTTTTTTGGGGGGGGGGAGGGGGGGCTCGGAGAACTGTAAAGGCACGTCCGAAACGCCCATGTCTGAGAGCTGATTTTGAGGGGGGGGGAAGCAACCCACACGGATTCCCTTTCCAATCGCTGTGTGCATTAAAAAAAAAAGTTTTTTTTTTTAAAAGATTCTCCATCCAGAAAAGAAAGGTGGGCGGAGAGGAGACGAATGTAAGAGCAAGGTTAAACCACAAAAAAATCGCGACCGACCGGCCTCCCCCGTTTGGAAAGGCAGGTTCGTGTCCCGAAGAGGAAGGAAGGAAGGAAAGAAGGAGGGAGAGGGAAGCCCCTCGTTTAAAAACCCGGAGGAGAGAGAGAAAGCTGCCCAACATTTGGGGGGCGGGAGGAGGAAGGGGGGAGATGGCGGCCAAGTGGGCGATTTCTCTCCCAGACAGAGATCCACTCACCTCTCTCGCACGGTTAACAGACAAAGGCAAAAAAAGCAGCCGAGCGGGCGGCGCGGGAGCTTCAGGCGCAGTTAAAGGAGGACCAGACACAGCAGCAACAATTTCTCCTCCGCCGATCTGCCGCAGCGGCAGCCGATCACCGCTCCGCTTGCAAGTTGCTGCAGCGCTGGCGGCGGCCAAACCCGGAGTCCCGCGCTCTAATCACTCCGCGACCGCATCTCCCCAGCGGGCCGCCTCCCACCTCCGGCGGGATCTGCGCTCTCCCGCAGCGGCGGTGGCGGCGGCACCCTTCGCCAAGGCGGGAGAAGAACTTGCCGTCGAGCGGCGACGGGGAAAAGTTGGCAAAAGGGAAGGCGAGCCGAGCGCAAAGTTCCAGAGAGCAGCCGGGCGAGCCGAGACAAGGCAGACTCCGGCGAGGGGAGGATTAGGAGGAGGTGGGGCTACTCAGCCGGGAATCCAGCTGCAGTATGTGTGTGTGTGTGAAAGAGAGAGAGAGAGAGGAGAGGAGGAGGAAGTGGCTGCTCCCTCTTCTGCCAATGGGCTTCAGGAGCTGAAATGAGCCAGGCAGCAGGCACATCATTTCCTCCCGGCGCAAATCCAGGCGCCGCCAAAGCTGCCCCGCCTCGCCCCCTGCAGGGACGAAGGGGCATCGCACCTTCCCTCCCCCGTGCGACGTGACCCGCCTACACGCGTGGGCTCGCGGGCTGGGATCGTGGGGGGGGGTGGGGGGGAGACGCGTTTTGTTTTGCGGCAGCGCCGCTGGTGCTTTTGAGGTGGGGTGTGTGTGTGTGTCGCGGTCTGATCTTTTCCACGAAGCCCCTTGTGACTGCCTCGCGCACCCTTTACGTTAAAGAGATCTGGAATATATATATATATATATAATCTACCCACGCTTTCTCTTCTCTTTCCAGTCACGACCTGCTCCTATTCGGGAGCGACAGACTGTCTCACTCCAAGAAAGCATCTCCTAGGACTCGGGCTTTGCCTGCCAAAGTGTGAACATGCAACCTACTAATTCACGTGTGTGGAACAGAAGGGGGGGAAAAAACAGTACAAGCACTCAAACAGAAAATGGCGGGAGGTGAGGAAAGGGAGAAAGACTCACTCAAATGCTAGTAGGAAATAATCTTGTGTTAGAACTCCAAACAGGTTTTTGGAAAAGCAAGCAATATTAATAACGATTGATGCAATTTCATCCCTGGAAAACCATTTTTACATAATAGATGGTGAGAAAATATAAAAGAGACCCATTTTAGAATGATTATACTATTCTACTTGTAGAAAAACCTAAAACTGAGTCACACCAGTAGTTCTACAAAGGAAAAAAAAATCCACCTTTTAAGGATGAAAAAGCCAAGGTGATTACACTGACATTTCAAAAACATTCTTTGCTTCATTTTTTGTTATTATATTTTTATTATCCAAACCCACAATTTCTACAACAATTCGATAGTTTTGCTTTTTTTCTAATTAAGAATAAAGCAAGAGATAAAAGGTTTATTTTAGGCAATACTTCATCTTACTTAGCAAACTTGCCTTGAAAAGGAACAGCTGTTTTAATGTTAATGATTTTTTTAAGTAGATGAAAAAATGTTCTATTTTGCAAGGGGAAATGAATTTAATATATCTGGCTGCTGAACAAAGTAATAAGCCTGGGGAAAGATACAGATAACCATTTTCTTGTGGTAAATACTTAGGAGAAGTTGGGGGGATTAGGTGGAGGAAAAACATCCAGGAATCAAATTGGCATATTAAATGTCTTCATTTAGTCCTCAGGGGATTAAGCTATATTAGTGGCTGTCAATTTTCTTCTCTTTCTTAATACGGTAAATATTTTTTATTAACGCACTTCATTTATTGTAAGTCTGAAGTTGGGTGTCTTTTTTCTCCCATGAAATACTTCAAAGTTTCCTCTGACTTTCTTATATGTCCTGATTTATAGTGCTATCCTAGTCTCACCCATAAAAATTCCTGGGGTATTATCATTGGTTCAGCTATGGTATAAAGCAGGGGTGTCAAACTCACGGTGTCACATTGTCACGTGATGTATCGTGACTTCCCCCCCCCCTTTGCTAAAGTGGGGGTGGACGTGGCCAGTGCATGATGCATCCAGCCTATGGGCCGCAAGTTTGACACCCCTGGTGTGAAGACAGACAGGCTGTACACATTCAACATATAAGAATATAAGAAAATAAAAGTGAAAACACAAAATTAATGTTCTCCTGTTATATCATGGTCTACTCTCTTACCTCTCCTATATACAGTATTATTCCCATCAATTATTGTGCATTACTCTGCTTATCAATTCAGTTTATTTACTCTGCCTATAATCCTACAAAGTAGTTTTACTGTTTTTCTATTTATTTAAAGGTGGACGAAGCCCTTATAAACAGAAGAACACTGACATCCCCTAAACTCCATTGAAGATGTTACCTAGCCTGGTAATGAAACATTTGGAAACCAATCCAAAAGCTTGGAGAACGAACTTTCACCTTCATACTTTCTTTTCTTTTGATATCTCTATTTTATAAGGAGTTCTCAACCTATGACCACAATTGGGACCAGAATTTCTGTTGCTAAGCAAGGTGGTTAGTTAAGTGAGTCTTGCTCAATTTTATAACCTTTTTTGTCACACAATTGTTAAGTGGATCATGTGGTCATTAAGCAAATCCAGCTTCCCCCATTAACTTTACTTATTGGATACTGTCTGAGAAGGTCATAAAGAACAACCATGTGACCTCAGGGTGCTGCAACCATCAAAAATACATGTTGCTTGTTCATATGCCCATATTTTGATCATGTGACCATGGAGATGTTGCAAGGGTCGTAAATGCAAGGACCAGTTGTAGCTCCCTTTTTAGGGCTGTGGTAACTTCAAATGGTTGCTAAATAAATGGTTATAAATTGAGGATTACCTGTATCTTTCTTGCTGAATGTTTTATTTTACAGAGTATTCTTGGTTAATCTAAGATTTCTGATTACCTACTCTAAAATTTATATAGGCTTTCCCCCCTCCTTTCTAGATTCTCTATAGTTCCTGTCATTTGTACATATCAATTCCATCTTAGAAATTTGATGTCTATATTCTTTCCAATTTTTATCCTATCCTATGTTCTTTTCTCTTGGCCTCTGGCCTCACACCTCCAACTATCTATATATCAACTATCTATATATCAATATATATCAACTATATATTAGGGGGCATGCATAACCACACCAAAGTGCCTACCGTCCCTGTCCTATTGTTTCTTTTATTTTTCTTACATGTACTCATTTCTTGTATTCATAACTATGTTTATCCTTATACCTATTATCTTGTAAGCGATTGACAAATCAAATAAATAAATATCTTCCCCACCAGCAGTCACTGCTGTTGGAATTGAAGCTACTCTCTGCTGCCAGCTGGCTCTTTGCAACTGCCCAGTTTGTGCCAGAACTGCTCTGGTGTTGGTTGACACTTTTCCTGTACCCAGAACCTTGAGTCCTTTCAAAGTTTCTCTCACTTCACACTACTTGAAAGCATTTGGCTGTGAGGATTGGGATTTGGGTAACCTTCTGCCCAGGCTACTGAAACTTGCCTGGTGCTCTACTCAGCCAGGTTGCCCTTCATGGGCTTTCAATCATGCCAACTCCTCTAGAACAGGGGTGTCAAACTCACATCACGGCAGCGTCATGTGATTTATTGGGACTTTTCCCCCCCTTCACTAAACTGGGCATGGGTATGGCCAGCATGTGACGCATCCAGCCCACAGGCCAGAAGTTTGACAACCCTGGTTTATAAGTTCTTTTTCATAGGTTGCCTTTTCTTGATATAATTCTCAGGGTCACCTGGTCTTCCTTCCTTCTGCCTCCATTGCTATGGCTCTTAGTAGTCTCTGTAGCAGACTGCCCTAGCAGTCTCTCATAGTCTACTGGCTTCTGCTGGTCAGGTCTAGTTACCTGTTTTTTTGAGTATCTATGGGCAGCTCCCACTACTGAACCTTAACTTTCTCTCCCAGTCCCAATTTCCAGGCCATCCTTGGCCTGCTCACACTCTGCATCTAGACACCTAGGGTACTCTAACTCACTAGCATTTTGTACTCCTGAAGACCTGACTGACTGCCAAACTGGACTGTGTTGATGTCTGCAACGCATATCTCCTATTCTAAATTTAGGACCAATTTCCCCAGAAAGTTAAGTTTGAGTCTCTAAAGTGGGGAAGGATGGTTCCAGTGCAATCATTTTGTCCATTTATCCTCTTACAAACCATCACTCCCACTTAAATTATACATAAAACATTCACACTCTTGCATATAATGATCTCTTCCAGACAATGTTTCCCAATCATTGCAACTTTAAGATGTGCTTGCTCCAATTCCTAAAATTCTTAGCAATGCCCATGTGCATTAGGGAATTCTGGGAGTTGAAGTCCACGCAACATAAAGTTGCCAAGGCTGGAATATACTATTTTAAATAATACCTTTGTCCATTCTCTAGATGGGGAGGGGGAGGCGGTGGAAGCTTGTTGTATACTTAACAAGCTCTTTCACTTAAAATAAGTACAATGACCACATGGGTGGAAAGATCCTATGATAATTCAGTTTATTATGCAACATTACATGCTGCAACTAAATCACTTCTAACAAGTACTCCTTCAGATTCTTGGTTCTATGTGCAAAACAGAAGACTTTTACCACTTTGAGGTATATTTTTGAACAGTTCCAAAAATACAAACCAATGCATTCATTGTACAATTGTGTTATACCCAAGTCTTCCCCCCCCCCACTTTTTTTTTTTTACCAAATATCATTTTGCTTTTTCTAAATTGGCTTCCCCCAATGAGATTGGATAGCCTCCACTTAATAATTCTTGCTTTAGCACTCCTGAACTCAATAAGAATTCTGCCTCTTAAGAGCCCTTGGATTGGTCTCTTAGAAACTGTCCTAATAGTAAATTATTCCTGAGCCACTTCATGGGCCATGGTGCAAGTTGATTTGCCAATAATAGTTCTTTTCAAATAATAATTCCCGAAGAATACTATTTCTGCTAAAGATGGCAAAACATGACTCATTCTCCTCTCAGTAATTCATGGTATGAAGCATCACTTCCTTAGACTAGGATATAAGGAACATATATGATTAGAATGAAAGATTGGATTTCATGAATGAAATGCATAAAGTTCTATGAAAGAAAGGAACCGTGGAAAACCGTAGAGCTAAAATAGAGTCCTGAAGAGAGTTGTTTCCTGAGATAATAGGATACAAAACTGGGGGGGGGGGCTAAACATTTTAATGATTCCTTGATAAAAGCAAACAATGAATGGTACAAGCAAAATCTCACACTGGATTTTGAAAGGCAACTGTGTTCTGCTAATGCAGTGTCTTGTAAGGTATTCTCCAAAAGCTCTGTTTTGGTTTTGATTTTGTCAATTTTCTGGACTTACCATATGAGATATATTATCCTTTAAC